TTTGCGGTGCTCTGTGTAAGGACTTCTTGGGGCACCTAAAATAAAATTTAAAAAAAAAAATGTTTGTGTTCAAATTGTGCTCAGGCAAATCATTGTTTAAAATTAAGCAGCAAGTAAAATATATGCTGTTGATAATATTCTTACTTTTAATATATCTAAAAACCTGATGTGATGATAAAATGTGCTAAAAATATATCCACATAAATAAGCAATAAAAGATTGATTTCTATTTAAAAGTAAACGAGCTTTTCCTTTGAACTGGTCCAGAAAAATACAACAATACATGGTTACATACTTCAAATCCAAGTAATGTCGAACACTACGTATTTAATCCTATAAAAATTGAATCAATATTGTCCAAGATGTATTTGTAAAAATCTGGATATAAATTTTCAGCATTTCCTTGAAATACAGATATACATGGTTTTATAATCTGGTATGCTGTGTTAGCTATATTGAAATTATTCACATAAGCTTTTAATTGATTTTGTATGGACTCAAAATAACTATTTGATGAAAGCTTTTGCAACAATTTCTTTCTAAATATATTTGAAAGTCGTTGAGATCAAGAATTTCTTCTGATTTTTTTTTTTCTAATATTTTTTATTATTTCTTTTTTTTTATGTTCAATTAATTCAACTGCCCAAGGCTGAAAAGACAATACAGTCAAGTAGACTACTTGATTGTGGTTATAACCCTCTCTTAACGCTATAACTCCAAAACACAAACCTTGACGAACAAGGCCGCTGCCCCAAAGAAACAAATTGAGTGCGGTATTACCAGGTATGTGATGGGGATTGAACTCAGAACCACTTGTTTATGAAGTGAGTGCTCTACCACTACACTAATATGTTTTCCAATATGCATGTTGTTTTTCAGCAATGTGATTTAACAAATCCTGGTCAATAACTTCAAGAATAGAATCAAGTTTGTCTTGATGCAACTGGAAAATGGACTCAAAATGGTTCAAATCAGCAATCATAAAGTTTCTTTTGCACCTTATTCACACAGACAACCCAATTTTCAACTTGAGCAATGAAAACTATTAAAAACAGCCTGCGTTGCCAGACTATTCGTTTTATGACTATGATTTTTTCAATTTTTGAAAGTGTTCTTACCATCAGTCTGAAAAAGCAAACTCAAAATTTATTGTGCTAACTGGTATATAGTCTGCTTCCTGCTATCTAGTCTGTATACAGTCTGCTTCCTGCTATCAGGGTAGATTCTGTGATGATCCTTGACAATTTGCAGCAGGAATTGGAACTACGTTTTATGCTGGGTTATTAGTCCATTGTATTCTTAAATAAGTACCACTCCACATTCTGCATGGTTAAGAACTTTTAGAGACTCAACTATTTTGCCACCTGCTTGTAATTGTCTCTGTCTCCCCACAAGTCAACCATGAGAAATCCATGGAAGTTCCGTCAACCAAAATAGCATCAATGACTTTGCTGTGACAAAATTTTCCAAATTCTTGCCCTTAAGGGAATCAAGAGCAATAGTAGATGTCCAATGACTTTGAACATCCATTAGGAATGATGCATTGCTCCAGGTGACACGAATTGCACTCTTCTGGCAGGAGCAGCACGAAGAAAGATAATTTAAATTTCATAAAATTTTTACTAATTACCTCTTGGCTGATTCTGTTCAAGATATTTGTGGGCATAATTGATGATACCTTGCTTTATTTCTTCCACTAAGCTTGCTGCGCCATCAGCTGTAACCCCTGGCTCATACTTGGCTGAATCTATAGAGCCCCAATATTGCTCGAACTATGGAAAGCGGAACCTCTGAATAAGATGAGGTTCCCATACATAATTGGAAAACTGCACCAATCACCAGTTCCATAATGTGATGACTGCAAGCCAGTGACAAAAACTTCTCCTCAAGCGTCTGCTCTAGGAGGACACAGACACCAGCAATCCAACCAGTGTTTGAGCTGTTTATGTCAAAACAGGTAGCTCGGATGCTGTCAGCTATGCCACAATCTTCAATAGCTCCAAACACAGCAGCAGCCTGAGCCTCACTTATTCCAGATGGAAGCTTGCAGTTACAAGTAGCTGAGAAACTTTCTTCCCTGAAACTAATACTAGCAGGCAATCAACCTTCTATTTGCCAATTAGATTAGGTATCAGATTTCCATTCCAGTAAACAAAGGGAGCGTTACCCAGAAATTTGGTCCTAATGTCTGCAGATCTCTGAACTCAGTGTTCCACTCTGTATCGGTGATTTAAATCTCTGTTTAGAGCAAGTTCATCAATGTTCTGTCCCAAGCTATTGCTTGGACATATTATGCTATAACAAAAACAACCTTGTGGTCTGAAACAATTCACTAATGAATAAAAATAAAGAAAGCCTCCAGTCACATCAATTGTCAATCAGCAACTTTACAGAAATCTACTTTCATTCAATTTAGAAATCATGACAATTAATTAGGACAATTGTATTAATCACTGAGAGCCATCCCTCAAGCAATTACACAAGTATACTGCTTCAACAATGCTTATGTTTATCACAAGAGCTAGTCTAGTATCAGCAAAACAAAAACTTTGGAGCAGCAGAAACTTCAACACCATTAAGCTACCCCTAAATAATGTTCAATTGCGCTTATATTTTGCCTGAATTTTTATTACATATATATATATATATATATATATATATATATATATATATATATATATAATATATATTTATGTGACACAATGATCGCAAAAAGTGAACAACAGAGCCATCCAGTTACGTAGATCTAATTACCAACCTAAGAGATGTGATAATAGAATCAGATTGTAGATCATGTCATTAAGGTAAAAAACTTAAATTAATGTAAAGACTATTTAGTAGGAGGAATAAAATTTAACAACTCAGGAAGAGGAGAAACCATAACTCACACCCTAGTCATTCTTAGCAAATAATAAGACAAAGGTCTATGAGTAAATAAGTCAATATAAATCCGCTGGTTTATTAATGGTAACCATAACTAAAATAATCGCAACATACAAAAACAATAAAATAAAATAAGTAGACGACAAAATAGTAAGTAAAATGATAATAAATGATAGTTTAAGCAATATAAAAAGAAAAATAGGCTAATAAATGTGGTATTATTTATGGTCTAAACTCTAGATTATAAATTAAAAACTGATAATCACCTGTGCAACAAAAAAATAAATAAATGTTGTTAATGTAACAAATTCATTAAAAAGCTCACAAAGTGCTGAAATTCATGGGTGTAAGAGTTCAAAAAATTTTGGTGCCATAATAACCAATTAGATTTAAGTAGTCGATGAATGGTGATCCCCCTCCTCAGGAATGCACTGCGATTGTCAATGACATTTCGGAGATCCTGAGACCTGTACTAATGCCACTTGTCATGGGCATGTCCTTGCAACAGATCTCACCACGGTGGTGAGATCTGTGAGTCATCACCAGTCAGGTGGTGAGTCACCACCTGCACTCTATGTCATGCTAGTCAATATTGCAGTATAATAGGACTACACTACAAATGCCAAAAATCCCAATCCCTATCCCAGTTTTAAATACAACTCCAACATTCTTAGAGATCTTGTGAAGGTGCTGATACATGTGGTATGACCATAAAAAATTATATAAACACATAAAAGTAACATGTACACTTATACTAGAAGAGACAAACGTGTACACATGCACGTATGGGCATGTATTGAAATAAACAATTTAAATGTATAGAAATATCACAAAGCAAATAGAAAATAGTAATTAATAATTAAGAGTAACTTACCATTTTTTATGGCTGTATATGGATGATATAAATATAAAAAGTAAATACCACTCATAAATATTGAAACTAAGTAAGATAGTGGTTATTACGAAAATAATTAGTAGAAAATATGACTGAAAATGTGGTAACTCCAATAGCACGTGAAATATAAATCTTGCCTGATAAGTAGAGACAATAGCTATCACACAAAACAGATTCAGAGTAATTAAAAAATGATTAGCCAGAGATAAATTAATACAAATATTAAATCAGTAGGCAGAGAATAGTGAGAAAATAAACAGATGAGACAATAAATGCAATTTTTAACTAATAACTTATAACCACTGAAAAATGTAATCTTAAAAAACAATATTGTTGACAAAATGACCAAAAGAACATTAGTGAAGACTGCATAGTGCAAACCACAACAAACTAACTTAGCGACGTCAGATCAAGCAAATTAGATAGAAACAAAAAGCCTAGCAAGATCGTGATATGTCTAAACTTGTCTAGTAGAATTGTTCAGTCCATTCCAACCAAGAATACCTTTGTCATAAAAATACACTAACTCATATTTTTGTGTAAAATTTTTGGTCTGTTATACTTCTTAAAACTATACAGTCTCATTCACACATTATAACACAAATCTTAATAAATATACGAGGATAAAAAAGATTATGAACAAAAGTATATAATAAAGAACAAATATTTGATTAACTGATTTTAGAAACTGTTTATGTCTACAGGTGTGATTATTTAGTACATTAGTATGTTATATTAGGTCGCCTAGTATGGTCTCGTTATGTTTTCATTCACTTTCAAATCGGGTGAATAGAAAGCTAAACACACTCACTTCTTGACTTATGAGCTAGCACATCAGAGCCAGTAATAAGACCTACAGAATGGATTTCAATTGATCGAATGCACACATTAGTCACCGTAAGCCACAAGCCATCACTCTTAGCCAAAAGAGCTATGACCCTATACTGGTGTGGAATGATGTGCTATGAAATGATATTTTAGATCCAAGCACATTGTCAGCGAATGTTGATCTAACGTGCATTGTGGAGCTTCCAAATGAACATGTGCATAAGTGTCAGTGTAGTCATTAGGTTATTGAGAGCATATTTATGTGTTTATATTTCTGTGTTTACGTGTATTATGTTATTTGTACAATGATGTCTTAGAAGTAAGAAAATAAGTTAGCCTAATAAAATAAAAAAAAAAAGGAAAAGCATTGTTTGTATTATTGAAAAACACTCACCTGAGCTGTCCGAAGGAGAAACATAAAAACACTCACCTGAACTGTCCGAAGGAAAAACATAAAAAGTATTGATATTCTTCTTAAAAAAATTTCTTTCCTGTTTTTGCAAATCAAAATAAATATTTATATGAAAAATTATTTTTTACAGAAGGATGCACTACTATTAAACATCAAAAGAATTATAAAAAAATGTATAAAAAATTATTATAAAATTGTTTTAAATAATATAAGACATAAATTATAAAATTTTAACATATATGTATAAAAATATAAAATATTATAAAATTATTTAAAATAATTTGACATAATTTTTATAACTATAACAATTTGAACCCTATTACTATTATTTTTAAGTATAAAATTAACATAAAAAAAAATTAAAAAAAAAATTTCTATGCACTTTTTAATTTAAATTTTTTTTAAAACAAGGTGTTGGTTTTCAAAACAGGGTGTTGGTTTTCAAAAAAAGGTGTTGGTTTTCAAAAAAAGGTGTTAGTTTTTTAAAACAAGGCATTGGTTTTCAAAACAATGTGCTGGTTTTCAAAACAAGATGTTGGTTTTCAAAGCAAGATTGTCCATTTATTTGTATTGTAATAATTGTCCATTTATTTGTACAAATATAAAAATGTAAAAAAGGAAAAAACTATATCAAAGAGAATTCACATGTCATGTTTTAGCATAATGTAAAATCAAAATGTTATCAACCTTTTCTTGAAAAGTAGAAGCTACTTTATATGGAGAGCAGCTTTTAACATATTCTTCAGCTGTAGTACAAATTTTAAATTATGTATGTAAAATGAAAACGAAAAGTTAGTGAACATTAGCACAGAAAATTAAAAAAAAAATTATATATACAAACATATAATTGCAAAAATTAAACAATTTAAAAAACCTTTTTTCTCTTTTATTTTATTTAAAACCAATGATGATTGATTTTGCTCATTTGCAGATTGAATTTTACTGTTAGACTTTTCTAAAATGCTCTATATATATATACATATATATATATATATATATACATACATACATATATATATATATATATATATATATATATATATATATATATATATACATATATATATATATACATATATATATATATATATATATATATATATATATAAATATATATATACATATATATATATATATATATATATATATATATATATATATATATATATATATATATATAATATATATAAGTAG